TGATTTCGGGAGGGGTGTTGAAAGACCTGAGTCAGATTGAGGTGACGAGAGAGGAGGTCCTAAAACTGATAGACTACTTAAAAACTGATAAATCACCAGGCCCAGATGGCATACATCCAAGAGTTCTGAAAGAACTCAAATGTGAACTTGTGGACCTCCTTACAAAAATATGTAAACTTTCCTTAAAATCTGCTTCCATTCCTGAGGACTGGAAGGTAGTTAATGTCACTCCCATCTTTAAAAAGGGTTCCAGAGGAGATCCAGGAAATTACAGGCCAGTCAGTCTGACGTCGATACTGGGTAAATTGGTGGAAACCATTATTAAGGAAAGAATTAGTAGGCACATAGATGAACAAAACCTACTGAGGCAGACTCAGCATGGGTTCTGTAAGAGAATAACTTTTCTCACTAACCTGTTAGTGTTCTTTGAGGGGGTGAACAAACATGTGGACAAGGGAGACCCAATAGATATTGTTTACCATGACTTCCAGAAAGCTTTTGATTAAGTTCCTCATCAAAGGCTCCTAAGTAAGCTCAAAATTCATGGGATAAAAGGACAAGTCCTTTTGTGGATCAAAAACTGGATAATTAATAGAAAACAGAGAGTGAGTATAAATGGGCAATTTTCTCAGTGGAGGATGGTAAGCAGTGGGGAACCACAGGGATCAGTACTTGGTCCAATGCTTTTTAACTTGTTCATTAATTATTTGGAGTTGGGAGTAAGCAGTGAAGTGGCTAAATTTGCTGATAACAACGGCAAGAATGATATATGCTCAATATTGGAAGCAAGAAAAAATACCAGATCTGGAAGAATGGATACAAAAAGTTCTGTTCATGGCTGAGATGGACAAAATAACCAAAAAGTTGAACAATAAAGAGGACCAAGAAATTTTTGAAGAATGGAAGGACTTTAAGATATATTTAGAAAAGAACTGGGACGTGAGACAAAATTTACTATGTTTAGAACAATATTAAGTACTTGATGTTATCCTGAGTTTATCTATGTGGGACATGAGGGAAGTGCATTGCGGGAAGCCTTTCGGGGGAGGGAGGGAAAAGGGAATATTCAACCAATCGATAAAAAGATGTAAAATGTGATAACAACGGAAAATAAAAACTCTTTTGACCAAAAAAAAAAAAAAAGGATATTATCGCTTTGGAAAAAGTGCAGAAAAGGGCAACTTGAATTATAAAAGGGTTGGAACACTTTCCCTATGAGGAAAGGTTAAAGCGCTTAGGGCTCTTTAGCTTGGAGAAACGACGACTGAGGAGAGACATGATTGAGGTTTATAAGATTATGCATGGGATAGAGCAGGTAGAGAAAGAGGTACTTTTCTCCCTTTCTCGCAATACAAGAACTCGTGGGCACTCCATGAAATTGCTGAGTGGTCGGGTTAGAATGGATAAAAGGAAGTACTTCTTCACCCAAAGAGTGATTAACACATGGAATTCACTGCCACAGGAAGTGGTGGTGGCTACAAGCATGGACGGCTTCAAAAGTGAATTAGATAAGCATATGGAGCAGAGGTCCATCGGTGGCTATTAGCCACAAGGTATAGCTAGGGGCTCTGGAGCAAGTGATGCTCTGTCTTCTTGGTGCTTGGGGGGGTCAACAGTGGGAGGGCTTCTAATGTCCTGGCCCCACTGGTGGACCTCCTGATGGCACTGGTTTTTCTGGCCACTGTGTGACACAGAGTGTTGGACTGGATGGGCGTTTGGCCTGATCCAACATTGGCGTTTCTCATGTTCTTATTTAAATGAAGGTGATTTAAGTCACCTAAGAGATTTAAATCACTGCTTATTTAGATTATTCTTAAATAAACAGACATTGGGGATTTAAATCACCTTGAGACCCACTGTGGTATACCAGTTAGAATGCTGGACTAGATGACTGAGGGGTGGTATGAAATCCCCACTCAGCCATAAAGCTTGCTCTCTATATTTTTATTCATCTTTCAAATAATTTGATAAGTCAAATATAGATGTAATGACATTGAATAATTGATGTTAGCTTATAAATATTCATACTCAGGTATTTTAATTCAAGTAAGCATTTACTGAGCACCATGAAACCAAATCTTGACCATACACACATATTATGGAAACAAATGTTTAAAACAGACTTTCATACACAGGCAAAGGCATTACTTCTGTTATTTTTAGCAGGAAGGGGAAGACTAGGAGAAAAACATTTGCCAACTGTAACCTATTTGCCAAATGTTTGCTTTTGTGTTCCTTGCAGCTTGGCCATGGCCTGAAGTGCCAGCAGTGAGGGAATGACTGGGGGGATCATCTTTGCCAGCCATAGTATCTTTCCAAGTGCTGGCTCCTCCCTTCCTGTTACCGGTATCAAGCTTGGGTATGGCCAGAGGTGTGAGTTCTTGGCCCTTTGGCTCTTAGCTCATAGCTCGCAGTTTGGCCCTTAGTTTGTTGGCTTTGTTAGTTTTGTCTTGTGCTGAACAGGCATCCAAACAAACAGTCAATGAACTAGCTCCCCAATCATGAATGGCAACTGGAACATGAGCTGAATTAGTAGGAGAAAAGGAACTCATACTTGTTCATGCAATACCAAACAGTGCTTTGGGCACTATGTCTGAACCATGGCTAAGAACCTATAAATGAAAAACTTTTACAACTCTCCTGTGATAAAGTGTTTATGTTTTTTCCTTGTCATAAGCTATAAGAACAGTGACACATTTTCCTGATAAACTCCCACTTGTATCATAGCATGATATCACTGATCACTGAACAACACCAGAACACAGCATGATTCCCACCATCAAAGGAGATTATTGTTATATTGTATTAACCTTATGGTTAAAGCCATTACTGTTTGCTGGCTGAGCGCATTTTAAGTGAGCGTACTCTTGGATATTAATTTATCATAAAAACAAATACTGCAGAAAGATCAAAGAACATACAAAGCATGACCCAGACAATGTTAAAGACTTTTAAATTCCAGCATTCTCAGTGGAAGAGCAATCACATGCTGAAATAATTTCCAATTAAATCCATAAGACTTAAAAGGGTATTCAACACAGACTGGATTACATCTTTACTAAACATATGCAATGCTCTTAAAATAGTATGCAATTTAAGCATATTTAAGTTTAAAATTCAATCTTTAATTTGTCTCAGTCATTTAAGTAGTCATTTAAACTTTTGTATACATTTAAAATAGAAAATGAAAATATACCAGGTCCCATATAACCGATATGCTCATAGAATGGGCTACCTAAACAGCAAAAAGAAAAAGAGACATCATCGATATAGCACAGTAAATAATATTTTGCAGTTAACAATTACGAGCCCTTAAACAAGTGATGTTTTATCAAATAAAGTCCTAAATTTGATATATTTTATATTTAATAAACTTCTTAATAGTTTCCAGAGATATAGAAAATGCCTGTATTTGCTTTCCATTCAGAATGTGACCAATTCAGAATACATCCACTTATAATATATCCTGTACCTTTGGAATATACAAAATTTAATAACTAATATCCACAAGAACACAATTCATTATTCAGCTTGAATAAACAAATTTATACCAATGAGTTTTTATTGTAATAGCCCACACTTCAGCTTTCTTTTTTTGCAAGAAAAAAAGCTTTAGGACTGTCACACAGAAAGATAGCAATTTGAATAGCATCACTCCATTAATTATTGAATTTTTAACTTCAAGTCATATTCTTTTAACTAGCACACATGTAGGGCCAAACAGAGGGGCACCCAAGAGGACCATTTGATCTGGGCCTCAAGCTCAAAATTTAAATGCTTGTCAATATTTTGGCATTTGATAAGTTTCATAATATATAACTCAGTCTTGGGGGGATTGGTTTATTTTCACATTTTAGTGGTTGTTGGGGTTTTTTGTGTGTGGCCAAGAGCCTCAAAAACTGGACATAGTTTGGAAAATGTCTGGACTTCTGAAAGGGCCTTCCCACTAGCTGAATTTTCAAAAACAGCAAAATAGTTTAGAAATGAAAAACCAAGGTATCAATAAAGAAATAGTCTGTGAGCAATGATTCTTTATAGACCAACAGGAACTACAGTCCTTCTAATACTATCTAAAAATATTAATATAATTGAAAAAGGTTGGCCCTACCTTCATACATTTAACTCGAAAAAATCCACAGGGTTTTAAACATGTCTGCACTTTTCTCAGTCGAGGTCAGGTACATGTGTAGTATCCTGCTTCAATTGCTTACTTACTGCTTTACTAGCAAAATGCCTTTATTATGGTTTGCATAGAAGGCCCATATACTTTCAGGCACCTCTTAGGAAGACTTCTGTGAGCTTGCTTGTGGTGCCTACCTGTAAAGTCTGTCACATCTGTGCCTGGGAACCAGAAGTCCACTAAGTTCTGCTCTGTGGAGGAAGACCTCTGTGAGCTTGCTTGTGAGACTCTGTGGTGCCTACCTGTAAGATCTGTCCCACCTGACCTTGGAAAAGGGCTTGATCCTACGAGCTTTTTCAGAAACCATCAGTTCAAGATCCCCTCTGTGTCTTCCTCTTTGAGCTTGCTTAAGAGATTCAGTGGTGCTTTCCTGCAAGATCTTTTCTACCTTTGTTTGTAAAGTGTTGTGGACCTGCAGGCCTTTTTAGAAAGTGGCAGCCCAAGGCGGCTGCTGAACAATGGTGACAGAGGACCTTGCTCATTAGGTACAAACAAGAAAGGGGACCCGGGAAAATCGTGGGGGGGGGGAGGAGCGGGGGAGCTCCACACAGAGCAGGGGAGGAGGAGGAAGCAGGTAAGTTCCCCCCCATCCTGTCGGTTCCCCCGTCTCCTCCACCACCACCCTCAACTACCACCCCCCAGCTCGCCGGCCCCCCCGTCTCTCTCTTCCCCCCCGTTCTCTCTCTTCCCCCCAGTCTCTCTCTCTCTGTCTCTCTCTTCCCCCCAGTCTCTCTCTCTCCCCCGTTCTC